CAGCCCATATAAAGCCTTTATTTATTATGACTTTTCTCTACACCTGTTTGAGAGAAGTCATGTGTATGGTAATTCTGTGATATTTATACTTAGTATTTCCAAAAAAACAAACACTTAAGTCTGTTCCTTATAGAAAACTCAATTTTCCCTTCTATTCAATGTTTCCAGAGATTTCAATGGTTAGAGGATCTTTGGGGGAACTGAACAGCCACGATGTTTCCTTGTTCAAAACTGACCTGCTACACAGTGAGCTAGACTGCAAAGCTGGAAATAGGTGACGAGAGGACCTTGATCATGGCCCAGAGTGCCATGATCAGTTGGAGAGCTTGCAATCCTAAAATATCTCCACAGAATTGTGCTTCTCTGGGATGGTGGAGAAAGGCATCACATGGAAATAAAATAACAACAAAGAACATTTATTGGGGGGCAAGCACCAGGCTCAGAACCTTGCATAGACTAGGCCAACTAGTTCCCTCCCAGCTCTGTAAGGGAAAGCCCTATGCTACTATGAAGAAACTGTCATCTGGTATGTGAGGCCACTCTTTCAACCAGCATCTTACTTTACTGAGGATAACAATATCTAGGGATTTTGGTTTTGCTTGGTCTAAAATCCCTGTGTAAATAATTTTAACTTACTTGTGATCTTGAGACTGGATTTTGTGGATACATAATAGGTGGTTTTACAGAATGGATGAAGATGATCACCACCTGGTAACAAGTTTCCTTCATCCCATTCCTATAGATACTGACATCCTGATGACACCCGACAGACTCAGATCACAAGAGTCTTCTGATCATCAGTGAGATTATTTTTTATACAATGAGGAAATGACAATACTACATAGTTTAATGCTTCCTATATTCCTCACAAAAAAACTCTCACATAGATAGAATCAGTATTTATTTTTAAGAAACAAAGACCCTGTCCCACACAGCAGAATCAGGATTGGAACTCACACCATCTGTTTCTTGTTGGAATGGATGTTCTCTTACATAAGAAAAGGAAACAAGACGATAGATGAGAGAGAAAAAGCTAAGGGAGATGATAAAGCCGACTCCAATCTATATAAGGAGATTCATTTTATTTTCCCAAGCCTTGGGATTACTTGGAAAGATGTTATGGCGCCATGGAGTTCTTTAAGAAATCTATAATCCCCTATTTAATTATGAAGTACCTAGGTCAGATGTGCAAACTGGTGTGAAAAATTCTAGTATGTATGGGAAGTAAGATCAATATTAGAAATTTCAGCTCTAGAAGTGGGCTTCTCATGGTTTACCGGGATGTACATTCTCTAGAGATTCTGAGTACCCACAGAACTGAGAGAAGTGAAACCATTTACTCCCTGCTCAGAGAAAATGGATATTATGTGGACCAAAATGCTGGGAAAAAATATCAATCCAAAGTATAGATAATAGTGCAGAAGTGGAATCTGCCTTTGCTCTTTCTGTACATTTATGATAAGAATGATGTTTTAGTTAAAACAAGCAAAATAGGCAATGATTATTTAGTATTTTGAGAGTGAGAATAATCACATGGTAATAAGTGGAAGTAGGGAGATGAAATATAAAAAATTAAAAGTAGTCAGGAAAAAAATTAAAAAAACAAATATAAGTAATATTTGACTGAGAAACCTGAGGCTAAAATAAAAAACCAAGCTAATTCTAAGGAATTTACTTATTCTTTATTTGTAGTAAATGTTTCACAACAAGACTATTGTTTCCGTTTGAGTCAAAAACATAATGGAATTAGCTAGATTTTCTTTAAAAAAAAAATCCCTCCATTTTCTTCCACAAATTTGAGTTTTCCTTGGTACATCACATTATGATGTAGAACATTTGCTGAACAAATACCAATTTGAGTGAAAATGATATTAGGTTTTGATGATATACCTATTTTTAGCCCAAGTGATTTTCTGAATTTACATTTTCATCATTTAATGAAAATGAGGTATTATGTGAACTCGTATTTTCTTAGATTGCATTCAGGTTTATATATTTTCACCTTCATTGTCACGTATTTTCCCTCAAATAAGACATATTCTAAATATAACAATATATTAATGTTTTTACTGATAACAGCATACTGCAGTTTAAAAAAATACATTTTGTGTTTCTTGACCTTTTAAAAGTTATATTATTCTAACACTAAAAACAGCAGCATCTATAATAGAACAGAGCTTGGCTAAATTTACATAGTTTTGTTATTATCCTTGAAAGCTTTTGTCACAACAGCGCCAATTTAGGTGGTTTGTGCTCATTTGCACCTGTTCTTAGTACAAAATCTGGAATTTGCTTACTTTTACTGTACATTTCTATTACTACACAAAATACTATAGGCTGCCTTGCTGTAAAACTATAAAAATGGTGAGTGTCATTTCTGTGCAACAGTCTAGACACTACTTTCCAAGCCAAAGTTTCAGTATTTTTGATAACTACATAAAATAGTTCAGTTTAGGTCATTATAGTACCATTCAGTGTATAACTCCCTAAGTATACTAAATAGCAGTATTCTGTCTATATTTGTAAAGAGGGAAGCTAATTGGGCAATATTTCCTAAAGGACAAACAACTGAAAGACAAAACTTCTGAAGGCTTTCGAAGTGTCTATCATACTGCTTAAGGGAAACTTAAACACTAGGAAAAAATGGCTCAATAAATTTTGTTTCTCGCAAATAATGTAACACATTTTTAATAAATTCTAGCTTTGTAGGAAATTTATCAGTCACAAATTGACCTTTTTTTTGTTATATAAGATTCTTTCAGAAGGCCAGCGAGGGCTTCTAGGTATTAATATATTGTCTGTTATATAAAGCTCTTATCATCTGCAGATGGGTACTGTTAGAATCTCAGTGAAGACAAACTTTTATCATGTTAGCTCCACCAGAATACTGAAGTGGGCAGCCTATCCCTTCTCCAGCAGATCTGCCCAACCCAGGAATCGAACCAGGGTCTCCTGCATTGTAGGTGGATTCTTTACCAACTGAGCTATCAGGGAAGCCCCTACATCATTAACAGTTTCTCATAAAGACTTGAATCACATTCTGATCACATCTTAAGCATTTTATATTACTTTTCATGTCATGATTACATTTCAAATATCTAATATAGCTCATGTTTACCATTAAGACTATTTATGTATGGCCATCTTTCTCGGGTCAAGACATTGCAGCTGAAATACTTGTTCAAATATTCCTCTGGAAATGGCCAAATTCTCAAGTGACAAGTGCAAGTAAATTCTTGCACTAGATTTGTCAGTGTTCATAATTATATCGCAGTATATATTTAGTAAATAAATAAATGGCCTGATTCTTTTATTAGTGAATGACTTAATTTAGGTAGTTGTTTTTCAAATGTTAGTCAATAGAATTGTCCTGGGAGGTGCCTTTCAATAAAAGATCCCATAGTGAAATTAGTTTAAAAACTACTGTATGTTCCAGTCCCTTGCTGGGGAATCTTTAAGCATCTTAGAACACTAAAGGCTCTTGAGAGGTTCTAGAAATAAAAAGAAACACATTCCCATTTATACACCCAATGTTTTCCACATTTACTAGATCCTGGTGATGGACATTTTTGTCACCATGGTCTATATTTCATCGTCATATTCTATGTGTATATGAAAGTCATTGAGAGAGAACTTTCTGATAAATAAATTTAAAGATTATTCATCTCACTTTCTACAATAGAGCTAAGTGATCATTTTAAGGCACTACACAAAGTTCTCCAGCACTTGAGATTATTTTGTTGTTGTTGTTGTTCAGTCGCTAAGTCACATCTGACTCTGTGACCCCATGAACTGCAGCTCGCCAGGCTTCCCTGCCCATCCCCATCTCCCAGAGCTTGCTCAGACTCATGTCCATTGAGTCAGTGATGCTATCGAACTATCTCATCCTCTGCCACCCTCTTCTCCTTTTGCCCTCAACCTTTCCCAGTATCAGGGTCTTTTCCAATGAGTCGGCTCTTCGCGGTAGGTGGCCAAAGCAATGGAACTTCAGTACTTTTTAGAGATTATTTTAGGATGACTTATTTAGAGTTTTAAAAGATATTACTATATGTATATTGATCTTTCAAATTATTCTGATAAAATAAGGAGATACTGAACTAACCACATTGGTCTCATGTATATCTGTCATTGAAAAAAAATTAAAAATTCAAAGTTTAAAGCTTTTTACAGATTTTTTACTTTGTAAAAGAACACATTTAAAAAAATTTAAAAAGTCAATGTCTATGCCACTTTGTTGTCAACTTAAAAAAACAATGTATACATGCATTAAAGTTCCTGTCATATGATAGATTTTTCAATTTCTTTATATATAATCATGTTATAGACAATGGTAATAGTGGTAATAAGACTAGGATATGCTTCTTATTGAGCATCAGTGTTTTAATCATGACAAAATTATAAATTACTGAAAAAAATAACATCATAGCTGAGATGCTGACGTACTTCTATTTGGGTTAGTAATCCTATTGTCATAATCAATGATGCTAGAAAGATGCTATGCCATATTCAATGATACTAAAAATGCCATTTATAAATTTTAGGCCAGTCTCCTTTCAGCTAACTAAGAGAGGAACTGATGCCAATTTTGTTTACTTGACCTGACTTTAATAGCAGGTCAAGTTATCCCTGGCTTCCCAGGTGGCGCAGCAGTAAAGAATCTGCCTTCCAATGCAGGAGCCATAGGAGACGCAGGTTCAATCCCTGGGTGGGAAGATTCCCCTGGAGGAAATGGCAACCCACTGCAGTATTCCTGCCAGGATATCCCATTGACAGAGGAGCCTGGTGGGCTACACCCCAAGGGGTTGCAAAGAATCAGATATGACTGAGCGCATGTGCACAAAGTTATCCTCACAGTGCTATTGTCAGTGCAGCAGAAGAAATTTACTGCGGAAATATGTTTCATGCCCCTGAAAGCTTAATTGAGAACCAATCTCTTCTACTACTTAAAACCGTGTGTGTGTGTGTGTGAAACAGAAATAAGCATTTGATGACATATGTAACTTTCTTATGTTAAACATTTTTATTACAGTAACATATTTGAGTAGTTGAAATAATGTCATCATACAGGTATCACATGCTGAAGCATGACGATGCAGTACTAATTGCAGACTGTATTGACATTTCAAGCATATTTTCTGTAACAACATTTGCATTCATATACACGCAGTAAAACACATGGGGATAATCTGCATCATGATTCACGGGGGCAAATGTATTGCTTTCAAACTAATCTTCAAACCTAAAACCTTCAGCCAATCTATTAATATTCAAAGTTGCAGTATGCATATTAGTTATTAAATGAACCAACCAGCTCAGGACTAAAACTTTTGTTGTTAGTCTTTGAAAGAGAAATATCAGCATTATCTGGTAACTTTTGTAGGTAAGTCTTACTAATTTAGAAAATATTAGCCTATTGAATAATTATTTTACCAACAGTTTTCAAATTGGCAGGTGAGGATAAAATAAAAACTTTGTGTAGCTCTTTTTAGTTAATACAGTCCAGTTAATACAAAATGTTTCACCTGCATAGTTTTCCTTCAATACCATATACCCACTCATAATAAGGCAAAAAGAAAAAAACACCAAGAAAGGCAACAATCTCAAAGTGTGCAATTAATTTTAATTTAACATTTTTGGTCACAAGAGTGTTATTTGCAGCCATGTGTCTTGGTTCATATGGATCCAAATAATTAATGCTTTTTGGACATTGAAAAGTCAACCTTGTTCTCAAAAATCTCAGCAGAAAAACTGAACTTGATCCAATAGCACATCTTATCTAAGTTTTATTATTGCTGAGGCAAAAATATACCACTATAAACCAATATTTTAAAAAGCAGGATTTCTCTTTTCTTGACTTTTCCATGCAAAGGTCAAAAGTTTAAATGGAACTTGAAGTTTAAAAAAGAAGAAAAGAAAGAAAAAAAAAGTGTAAGGAATAAAATTTCGATTAATACATTTTCAAAATTTATTTGTAAGTAGCATTAGTCCAAAATATTTAGATAACTAATTCAGTTCTGGAAAGTTTTATTAAATTTCTCAATCTCAAGATAAAAGAAATTTTCACAAATCACCAGGTCACAAGAACACAACAATTGTACTTACACTTTTTATCGTTTAACCCTTAGGACCAAGTAAACTAAGACTCAAAATGTTGAAAAAGCATCACAGAACAGAAGAGGAAGGTATTTATTGTCACTCTTCTCAACATATTTGCTATTATATTTTGAAGAATATACATATAAGAATTAATCAAATGCTTTATAGAAAACTACAAATAATAGAGCTTATGCAACTATCAATTTTTTGGTACTTTTGAAAATGTCAAGTAATGTGGAAGTTTAGATTTAAAGAGAATTTTTAAATGGAATGACTTTGTTATGCTAAAGAAGAAAGCATTTGGATTAATTTATATTAAAATATGAAATTTAAAGTTAGATAACTAAAGTTTATAATCATATACTTTCTAATGAAAAAAGAATTAGAATGAAATCTTTCTCTTGATGTCTACAAGCCACTATCATCTAGCTGCATGTAAGTATTGGATGAGAAGACTGGGGTTTTTGGCTTGAGTTTGGTTCATGTTAGTTTCAGGGGGAGAACTAAAAAGAGTTTTGTGTATTTAGACCTAATTCAGAGATATGAAAAAATGTGTATAGATCTTTGCATCTAATATTCCTATTGCCATTTTCATATTTGATCTTACTATAATTTAATTTTTACACATGCAAGATAAAATAAAAATTGTTGCTAATAATCATAATATGAATCACAATAGTTCTTTCAACAGACTACATGAAGCAAATACTATTACAATGCTGGATTATTACAGTGAAAACTAATCTGCAATCTCATACAATATTCATATATGATAATTTAACATTAAAAGGTTGCTTCTTGGGCAGTTCTGGAATAACTTCAATCATATGCAGTTCTGGAAAGCATTAGTCACAGAATATCAGGGATATATCTTTTAATAACAGAATGAAAATATGCTTTCATCACAAGTAAACCAAACTCCCTATTAAAAACTCTGGTAAGACTGAATAGCTTCTGGAGTTTTTCACATAAAAAGGTATGTTCTCTCCTAGAAGAGAGTCAGACCCATACTATCACTTATACTGATATATTTTAACTCTATGAATAAAAAATTTATAATAAAAACTAAGGAATATTTTATATTACTAAAACATTTCTATGGCCTCTAGAGACTTTCACAGTTTATTACTGTGTCTTCTTAGTTTCTCATTAAGGAATAAGCATGAACACAATCTTAGTCCACAGGGTACCAGGCAGTATACATAAATAATGAGCACATGGCTTTTATTTACATCTTCCTCATATCAGAACTAGATGAGTCTAAAGATGGAAATGTGGGCAAGAAAATTATAGCACTCAAAAAAAGTCAGACTTGGGTAGCTAGAGGAATCAAATTCAATTGTTAATAACTAACTGGGTAGTTTCATATATTTACTCTTTAAAAAAAATTTTTTCCCCTAGGGGGAGACATGTTAGACATTCTTTTCACTCTAGCAAATTAAGTCACCATTGTGATTTAAGCTAACACAAGTGAGTGGCCAAGAAACTGGATTGATATCATACATCAGACCTTTGAAACTGTGTCTCATTCATGAACAAATTATGAATCTGAACCAAAAAAATGACTAAAATTGCTCCATGAAAAGGCCTGCTTGCTGATCATTCTTACAATGATTTTGTTAATATCCCAATTTCAGCATTATTTGTTCTCCAAAATTCTAAACATATTTAGGAATTCACAAAATAGTGTCATAAACACTCAGAGCTACATTGTGATTTCCTCCATCCTAACATCCTTATCCTCTTTTCCCACAAAGACAGTAACTCTCCTTTGTGATGCAATTAGCAAGGAAAAGTATCCATTGGAATATGAGTGGTTGGTAGTCATAAAGAATCCAGTAACTAGCAATAATTTAGGGAAGAACCTATTTTATCCAAATACAGCCTCAGAATATGGCTTTAAAAGCAAAATATATCTAACTTACAACTTTGGGTTGTCAGTTATCCAGCTTGTGAATTAAAGCAGGCCAGTTTGCCCCTCTCAGTTCTCCTTCTGCTTTGGGACCATTTCTCCATTTACTGGAAAAAGCTTTCAGGATAGTAAAAGGAGGTAAAACATTCATGAATGTTGCAAATAATTACCATCTGTGAAAAATAAAACTACTGGGAGAAATTAAAATAAAATTCTAAAAGGTGAATATTGCAGTCTTGAAGAATACCCATGGTATTTTTTATATTTGTATAGAAAACTGAAAGCTCACTCATAGTTTTTGAAACTGTAAGCAAAAAAGGAAGTAAACTGCTATGAAAATTATGCATAATAACTTTGGACAAGATGAAAACTTCATACTCTATTTTGATTTTTTTGAAATGCTCAAGAGCACATCCATAACTAATAACATTTAGTAATCATAATCTTCTTTTTGTAATAATTTAGATGACTTTCTATGGTGCAATATGAAACTCTGAATTAGTCTTTGCAATATACATTGGTCTCAAAATTGAGACTTATAAAATAATGTGACACATTCATTCTGTAACATTGAAATGAGTTTAAAATATCAGCTCTTCCCCTTCTGAAGAAGAGAAGAAATTATATTTGATCATATGTATCCATCAGAGGTATACTTTCAAAAAAGAAAACATAAGTGGTATAAGTGGTAAGAGATACAAAAACCATATGGAAAGATTTTGCTATTACCACCATTTTCTGTTCCATTTATGTGACTCTCAATAAAAAGTAAAAATACAAGCTAGTAAGTTTAATTTTTAACCCATTGGATTGTCTTTCATTTTAGACAGTATTGTGGTCTTACTAGAGTCTTACTGAAAAAGTACATTATCATTTTCACAAGTAGCTAGATTCCCACACTGAGGAATAAAAATATTGGACAATCCGGGTGGGATTTTTATATTAATAGCATGCTACTGTGTGCTATAGTAATGACAAACCCATTTTATACTTAGTCCTATCATCAAGCAACACCAAGCTTCTAATTTTTGTTTTCATTTTAAATGGCTACTAATATATATAAGAGAATTAATAAAGTAATATACTATTAATTCTTTTTAAGTCAAAAGTATTATCTAGAAAATAATTTAACACTGTAATGGGATCTTCAAGATCAATTCTGTTTTATATACTCTGCAGCAAAAATAACATTTCTAGTAGGAAGGTATTAATTATAAACCTAGCAAATTCTAGACATTCACATATTTGTGTAAACAATTTTAACATGGTTTATTACATTTCCAGAAAGGTTAAATCTTATATCCAGTTTCCTGCTAATTCTTCTTTCATATATTATAATAAATATATGTGTTATTTGACTGCATGTGTGTACATATTTTCACACACATATATGTCATATATACATAAAACAGTAGTTAATGGTGACTGTCTTTTCAATGTTAAATTGGGAAAAATATGAATTGCTATTATGCATAACCCATGGCGATCTTCCCTTCTGTTTCACAAATGGCCATATCGGGATGTAAACAAAACATTGGAGCGAGCCATTCCAGGTGAACTGTATTTCAAGTTGTAGGTTGGTGTTCTCATGAAGAATTGTGTACTTCCTGGTAGTAAATACCTAAAAATAATAGTTAAAAAATTAGACTTTTACAAACAAATAAATATTAATATCTCCCACTAAAGTGTTATGTGGTTAATAATTTGTACATCTTACATGAGAAATGACACTATAACAATGCAATCCACATAAAAAAATTTCCTCTCTTGAGGAGGGGATCCAGGAAAGGGTCATAAAGCCTCACTCAAAGAGCTGAATATAGATGCAAAATGTGGTCTTAGTATCCCAAGATAGCCCATAAAGAGCCAGGAACTCACAAGCTAGGAAACTGTTTACATCACTCATGTTAATTTGGAATTCATTAATAATCTCTGTAAATAATATGTGTAGCCAGTCAAATATTTCTTAAAAACATGTAACATGAGAATTTGGCTAACCACATTAAAATAATTATTTCAAGGATGTTGAAACCATTGATTTTAATTTCATAATATATCATTGATGTATTATGACTGTAGTTAATCTGAAATAAAAAGTTAAAGGTTAAAATTTATAACTAGATTGTAAATTTTATACTCCTATACTACTGGGTGCTTAAATTACACAAAGCAAAAACAATCATGGTTACAGGTTGCATGCAACCTTTGCACCCAAATGTATTTCAGAATATATGAAGTTTCCAGATTTTAGGCCAATAAGATGTATATACTATATATAATGCAACATCTTCATCAGAGTCTTAGGGCAGCATTCTGCAAACAAATCATTAATACTTCTGTAATGAAATGCAGAAATATTCACAATAAATTAAAAAAATATAAACAACTTTGTGTCAATTCAGATGTGCCAATAAATGGGTTACTTTTATTTTATTTCTATTAGTTTGAGTTTTCAGAGCTTTGAGATTTAGGAGTTGCAAATAAGAAAGTGTGCCTGTATAATCTTATTCCTCTGGAAAGCCTTTGATTGGCATGAGGCCATTCCAGTCTATATGTCAAGAGAGAAATGATTAAGGAAATCGACATGAGCAAACACAAGTATCACTATTAAAAGCCTAAGTCCGGATGATGATGAGGACATGCTAGAAAGTCAGGATAAAGAGATCTATAAAAAATTTCTAACAGCAGAAGTTACAACAGAAGGAGATTTATAAATAGTCTTAAAAAGAAACAAAGGTAGAGATCAAATCATTTATTTTCTTCATGTGACTGTAGAATCTTCCAGCCCCAGTATCATACTTCCAAAGACAAATGAAGAAACTGAGGGCCAAAGATATTATTAGCTACCAATTCTTTATTAAATAATATTGGTAACTACTAACTTCTGTGTCAATGGAAAATTACATTTATGTTGTTGTTACATGAATTTGTAGAAGAATACGAATTCATTATGATCAAACTGCATACAGCACTCAGATTAAAATGGCAGAATTCCACGTAATATTCATAGACATCATTTCATCGTGAATTATCTGATAATATCCCCTAAATCTATTACTTAATATCACAAACTATAAATAATTGCTCAAATCATTATGTTAACAGAGCAATAAAATAATATACAACAAACTAAATTAAATCAAAATTGCACAATGGGTGATGAATAATGAAACAATTGATTTCTCACATCACAGATTATATAAATCATTTTCTTAATATCACTTGGGTAATTTATATGAATTAATTATTATGTCAAGAGCTAGTGTATCATGATGACTGATCTCATATTCTGCAAGAAACAGGCTGCCCTTCCTATCTAGGGTAAAGCTGCAAAGGAAACTAAGATGTTTGATCAAAATCCACTATTCCATACTAGTTAAGAGTTATTCTCTCTCCTACTGAAAACTGGCTACATCCTGGTTATATTGATAATAATTATAGTAAAGAGTAATTTTTACCAAGTTTCTTTTCAAGAATCTTCAAGAAATAGTTATTATTGGCATTACAATAACATTCACATTGCCTTCTGAACTAAAGATTTCCATTTACACAGGTGAAAAAATAAAAGTACAAAGTCCAGGGTTACAGCAAACTTACACTATTTTATTTAACACTATTTTGTATTTTCAAAGTATTTGTGTGTGTGTGTGTGTGTGCCAGCACCATTATACTTGCTTTAAAAATATTATTTAATGATTCTCTGTGGTATATATTATTATCAGCTCTATTTTATAGATGAATACACCAAAGTGTACAGGCATTAAATGCCTTGCTCACAATCACAAAAGTGACTAGAGCCAGGAGTCAGATCCATCTGGTCTCACTCCAGAACTGTCACTCCCCAAAAATACTATATTGCCATTTCTGTGTATGAATTCCAATTTTAAAACTAACAAATACAATAATTACATTTATTTTTCAGAAATATGAAGTATACAAACTTAGAGTGTAGAAAAATATTATCCACAAAACTAAACTTTTTAATTGAAGCAGAAAAGGCTAAAATGAAACTAAAGACGTAAAAAGAAAAGAAATTCAGTATGAACGTAAAAAAGCATACAAAATCACATTGGAAGAAAGACTTTGCTTCCCTAAAGTAAGGGCTGTGGGATAATTACAGTGAAACACAATGGATTATTTGCCTTAATATCTCCATTAAGATCTCTTGGGAGAGACCACACTAGTTGAATATCAAAGATTATTTTTAAAATGTTCTCTGCGATGAAGTTAAATAATAAAATTTGATTTTTTAGCAAGAAGAATCTCTAGAAAGTGGATTTATAAACAGTATCTAAAGAGTGTCTGTTAAAGCACAAAAATATGTTAAGTCTCCAGCTTTATTTCTATTGTAGCTTACTCTCGAAGTACAAATATAGCTAACTCATAGCTTACGCATTCCAAGAAGAAATAACACAAACTACCCTCTTTGTTTCATACACATATCCTTACTCCTCAATTCTGAGATTATGGATACATATCTTCACATGCCCATCATTTAAATGTAAAATATGTATTTATCTACTTCCTATTTGACATAGAATTGTTTGGTTTGTCAGGTACCAACTTATTGCTGACCATGGAGAATCTCTAGAACATGAAGCATATCAAGACTGGTAAGTTAATTAGCCTTGAAACTTAAAATACACACACCTCTGAGATTTTCCTGAAGAAAGATCCGGGACCCCTGACTCACCCCCACCCCACCAGAGTAAACTCAGCTTCCTGGTTTGGGTAACATAAGGCAAATAAGTTTTATCACTTTATTTAGGCTGTGTTCTTTTTAACTATTTTGATTGTGGTAAAATAAATATATGACATGAATTTTATGATTTTTAGGTATTCATGTTCAGTGTAAATATATTCACACTGTATAATACTGGCTGAGTAAAATGGCTGTGTAACCAAAACTATAACCCAGTTCCAGACCTTTTCATCACGTCAAGCAGAAACTCTGTACCCATTAAACACTAAATTCGCATTTTCTCCTCCACCCAGTCCCTGGTAACCTCTATTCTGCTTTCTGAATCAATGAATTTGTTCTAGATACTGCACATAACTGGAATCATACCATGTTTGTCCTTGTATGTTTGGCTTATTTAACTTAACATGCTTTCAAGGTGCATCCATGCTCTAACATGTATCAGAATTTCACTCCTTTTTACATAGTATAATATTTTTATGCTTTTATATTTTTATACATAGTATATTTTTATACTAACTATAACTTTTAACACAGAATAATATTTTATATTTATAAATTTTATATAATACTATATTTATATTAACAATTTTACATAGGCATAATAATATACATGTGAGTAGCTCAGTGATAAAAGAATCAATCTGCCAGTGCAGGAGATGCAAGTTCGATCCCTGGGTCAGGAAGATACTCTGGAGAAAGAAATGACAATTTACTCCAGTATTCTTGCCTGGAAAATTCCATGGACAGGTGAGCTTAGCTGCAGTATTTGGGGTCACAAAGAGTCAAACACGACTGAGTGCCTAAGCACAGCACAAAGAGTCAGACACAAACGAGCACACATGCAAAGAGAGCAGAGTGGTAACATACACGTAAACATGTCACATCTTATCCATCCATTCCTCTGCTGACGGACATTTGGGACGCTGTCACCATCTGACTATCAGGAAGAATGCTGCTATGAACACTGGTGTACAAGTATTGGAGCCAGTCCTTGTTTTCAGCTCTTCAGGATATGTACCTAGGAGGGGAAATGCTGGGTCATGTGGAATGGCTACCCACTCCGGTATTCTTGCGTGGAGAATCCCATGGACAGAGGATCCTGGCAGGCTACAGTCCGTGGGGTCACAAAGAGTCAGACACACCTGAACGACTAATACTTTCACACTTTTCATGGTAATTCTATATTTAACTTTTTAAGGAACTGCCACTGTTTTCTACAGCACTCATACCATTTTACATTCTGAACCAGTACTAAATTCTCAATATACTTACCAACACTTATTATTCTGTATTTTAAATATAACACCCAGAACATTATACTGTGGTTTTAACTGTAAATCCCACCTCTTGTCATTTGATAGCAACATGGATTTGGATGAGCCATTTCACTTCTTTGGGCCTCAGTTTTCTCACTGGTGAAAAGAATCCAATAGTTTCTGCCATGCCTGTCTCACAGAGTATGGACCAAACGGAATAGTGCATATAGGTGAAATATTATTATTTCTGTGTTACTAACATCAGCCTTGCTTCCCAGGTAGCAAAGTGGTAAAGAGTCCGCCTACCAAGACGAGATGCAACGGACACACGTTCAATCCCCAGGTTGGGAAGATTCCTGAGAGAAGGAAATGGCAACACACTCCAGTATTCTTATCTGGAAAATTCCATGGATGGAGGAGCCTAGTGGGCTACAGTCCATGGTGTCGCAACGAGTTGAACACTACTGAACAACTGAGCACTCACTCAACATCAGCCTCTTTAGCAAGACCACGCCTGTTTTAAGATAGATGTACCAAGCTATCTTAACCTAAGATCAAAATAGTATCATGTGTATAACTTGATTTTTAAAACTTTTCAATCAAAAAGTACATAAAATAAACATCTAGTAAATGAATATTATAAAGTGATTACTCATATAAATG